TGGGCTCCGGAACAAACGTGAGGTCTGGAGGGTCAAATTTACCCTGGCTAAGATCCGCAAGGCTGCCCGTGAGCTGCTGACGCTGGACGAGAAAGACCAACGGCGTCTGTTTGAAGGTGTGTACGGGAGCCCACAGGAAAGCCATGAGGTGCGGGGCCGCTGTGGTTTTTCTAGGCCTGCTGGCCCAGTGATGAGAGGTGTTAAGCTGAACAAGCGGAGCCAGCGTTTTAACTTGGTGTTTAATGGGAATCTTGGGGTAGGTAGGAAAAGTGGGTCTGGATCCAAATTCCTGCATGTGTGTGACTTTGTTTTACTCAAACATTGGAGTTTAATTTACCGTTTACTAGAACTAACAATACCAACCAAGCTGGGGCGCCTGGCTGTAGCTGTATAATGTAACAAAGTGGTTCTGCTGGTGGTGGGAGTAGACAGTGAAGTTTCGGAAACGCCTGCGGGGAGGGGGCTTGGCTGTGTCCATTTACCTGCTTAAATAGGGTGGTCAAGGACATTTAGGTGACATTTAGCAAAGGCCTGAACAGAAGAGGACTTGTGGATGTCACGGGGAAGAACATTTAGACTCTTGCATTATGTCTTAATTTTTTACTTTGAGATGGGAAGTTAATGGAAGATTGATATGATCACACTCAAGTTTTGTTAGTACTTCTCAGGTTGTAAGATGACAGTGACATTAAAATAGCTTATATTTTATAGGAACTGGCTGAGTGCTTTTTTCTAAGGATTTCGTATACGTTATTTAACCTGCACAGCAGCCTTGTAGGAGTGGCTAGTGCTGTTTCTCTTACAGATGAACAAATGATGAGAGAGGCCTCCCTTTGACAGTCTCATGCAAGCCCCACAATCCCCTCCCTGACGGATGTTGGAGGTTGGGTGGGACTTGATCCCAGAGGTTGTAGGGAGTGGGTCACAGCTGTTCCTTTAAAAAAAAAAAAAAAAAGTGTATTGATTTCAGAGAGTGGAAGGAGAGGAGAGGGAGAGATAGAAACATTAATGATGAGAGAGTCGTTGATCTTGATCGGCTGCCCCCTGCACGCCCCCTACTGGGGACTGAGCCAGTAACCTGGGCACGTGCCCTGACTGGGACTCCAACGTTGATCTCCTGTATCATAGATCCATGCTCAACCGCTGAGCCACGCCGGCTGGGTGACACAGCTGTTTCTGGTGTCAGGACTCTGAGCTAGTCACAGTGAAACTTACTCGTCTGTGGTTAGATGAGGCATGTGGCACAGGGATGATACGTGGTCTGCAGGTGTCCAAGGATTGTGGTTTTCCAGGGCAGAAATGGAAGCTTCAAGGGGAAGTCAGCACCTTCACTTTCTAGTAAAGGAAGCCATTTAGCCACAGGAAAGGGAGGGGGAGCCTGGGAGCTCTGCCACTGGAGGTGGTCCTCACTGGAATAGCCCCACCTTATTTTAGATCCAACCTTTCCCACTAGGGTGTGTGGCTTTGGGCAAGACGCTTCCCTGAGTGTCATCTGTTAAAAAGACTAACTCTTAAGCAGCCAACATTTAGGTGGTTCATTCAGGCACTGACCAGTGTAAACTCCACCCACATAGCAGCTTAAGGACAGGTATATATCTGTTTCAGATCAGAAACTAAGGTACTTCAGTGCTTGCTTGGCACCTTAATGACAAGGGCCCCTTTGGCACTGAAGTGCCCACAAAGTCAGCTTTCCTTCACGCTTTCCTGGATGGTGAGGAAGCATCCAGTAAATGTAGGTCCATTGTTTCTGGAGCTTGCTTGAGTTTTGTTTTGCTATAACAAAAGATGCTAAGAGCCACTTAGAAAGTGAAACTAATCCTTTGTAAGGACAAAAGTTTGGGGCTTTTATCTCAGTGTCAAGGTAATAATTAGCTGTAAGCCTGTGCTGTGAAACTGGCAGGACTTTCTAACTCCAGAACATTAGCTCTTACCCCTGTGCTCTGTCATGGGAGTTGTACATAGTGTGATGAACATTAGCTCTTACCCCTGTGCTCTGTCATGGGAGTTGTACATAGCTTTTAGTCTTGCAGGTGAATGCTGAGCCCATTACAGGGATTTTCCCTTTATTTTCTTCCTGACAACTCTGAGGAAGGCTGTCTTTTTCTAGATGAGAACACAGCTGTATGTAGTCACCTGCCCTCCCTATTGAGATGGATATAGCCATAGGAACCTGCCTTAGGGTTGCGTGAAGGTCACGAGCCACACAGTGGCTGGTGCATTGAGTCCTATGTCAGCATTAGCTCGTATGTCCACCTGTGTACTACCATCTTGATCAGCAGGATGTGGAGCTGTTGAGGTGGGGGACTTGAACCCATAAAGCGTGGGGTCAGCCAGAACCCTGGCTCATGCTTCCTTCCTCCTCACCAGGCAATGCCCTGCTGCGGCGCCTTGTCCGCATTGGGGTGCTGGATGAAGGCAAGATGAAACTGGATTACATCCTGGGCCTGAAGATTGAGGATTTCTTGGAGAGGCGCCTGCAGACCCAGGTCTTCAAGCTGGGCTTGGCCAAGTCCATCCACCATGCGCGCGTGCTAATCCGCCAGCGTCACATCAGGTACCACCTCTGCCAGGCTCCCTGAAGCACCACAGTACCTTCTGAAGGTTGCTCTCACTAAGCCTATTCCTGTCTCCTGTGCAGCACTTGGAGGTGACAAAGGTGTGAGCTTACCTTGAGGGTATAGATTGAACCCTACAAACAGCTCGTGGGGAGCTACCTTACTCCCCCTCATAGCCCAGCGCAAGGGTCACTGCGGCTTGAGCCGTACACCTTGCGAAGGCCTCTGCCAGGCATCGGGCAGCTGGACAGGTAACAGCTATGGTGTCCCCCAGTTAGAGAGAAGTCATTGGGCCTCAGCTGGCTTGGGTGGGTTCTGCCGTCTCTAGGTCCCACTTGTGAAGTCATTCCAGACCCTGATCCTCTTGCATTCTTGCACTGTGGGCGTTAACCTGGCAAGTTGACCACAGTCCAGGGTTTGATGTGGCACAGGTGCTGGCTCAGGGTGGCAGCTGGTGCAGTGGAGACCAGTCAGGGCCAGTGGGTCTTTTTCTGGGTGTTGGTTGCCCTTTCTGTAAATCGGGCACCGTTTGGTGGGAGCTGTGCAGTATGTGGGCAGGATGTTTGCTTGCGGAATTGCTGCCTCAGCCCTTCCCTAGCCCTGTGGCCCATGGGCAAGAGCCTCAGTCACATTTCTTGTTGGAAATAACTTCATAGAAGCAACTGTAGCCTTGGGCTGCTGCTTCCAGGACAGAGGAGCTGCAGGATAAGGAAGCTCAGTGTCTGGCAGTCAGGGTATTTGGAAGTCAGGCCTTAGATTTATGTGCTGCCACCTCATTCACCCTGTGGTCTTGTGTGATTACTTCTGAGTCTCCCTCCCCTCTGAAATGAGACGCTTGTCTCAGAGTATCTGTACGGATTAGATGGGGGCCGAGGCCCTGGGATCAGGAGGCACTGCTGCCTTAGCTGTGAGCACAGCTATAGCGCCGAACCTGTCAGCTGCGAGCACAGGCAAGGGGAGCAGTGCCTTGTCCGGGCTGGGGCCCTACTCCCTCTTGACCTGCCATCCCCCCTCCAGGGTCCGCAAGCAGGTGGTGAACATCCCGTCCTTCATTGTTCGTCTAGACTCTCAGAAGCACATCGACTTCTCCCTCCGGTCCCCGTATGGGGGTGGCCGCCCAGGCCGAGTGAAGAGGAAGAACGCCAAGAAGGGCCAGGGCGGGGCTGGGGCTGGGGACGACGAGGAGGAGGATTAGCCCCCTCGCCCCGCACTTAGGAGTGTCCAGTTTTCCAGTCAGATAATAAAACACATCAATACCTTGCAGCTGGTCTTTATTGCTCCGTCTCCCTCCCTCCCTGCTGTGAACGTGCAGCCCCTGTAAAGGGAGGAAGGGCGGGCTGGGCTGGTCTCCAGGTTACCTGGAGCTAGTTCACACCTGTCAGTGCTGCTTCCTGCACAGAGGGCCTGGTCACCTGGTTTGTCAAGTCCTTGTGGGGCTTTTATTGTTTCTGGTGTACAACATAATTCAGCATCTATGTACCCTACAGAGTTATCACCCCTAAAAGTCTAGTTACTGTTCGTCAAAAAGTTGGGACTGCCTCACAGATCTGTGTGTCATCCTTGCCCAGGGGCCATGCTTTTCTGTCTGTCCAGTTTTAGGATGTGCTGCTGAAGCCATCACTAGATACTTGTGACTGCTTATAGGTGCGGTTCCTTTTCCTAGGGTGGGGCCTGTGCTAGTGAACAAAACATTCACACACCACTAACATCACAGCAGGGAGACCAAGGCTGTTCTGGGGAAGGTTCTTTGAATCACAACCTGATAACTATTGGCAAGCAGATCACTTTAAATTTCAGTTAGGTTTAAAGACAAGCATTTTGAATAAACACCAGAAGGAATTTCTGAATGCTGAGCATTTCTTTCCACGCAGAGGAAGTAGCCAGTGGAGGTCAGGGTCAGCTCCCATCTCCAGCCCGTTGACCCTGGTCCCTGGCTAGGAGTCTTCTGGGTATCCTGGGGGATGGGAGCCGGGAGCTGATCTGGATCCATCCACTTCAGGTTGCTGGTGAATTTTAAAGGTCTACAGGCTCATTTTAGACCTTGTTACTGGGTGGTTGGGCAGATTCCCAATTCTCAAGATTGAAGTGAAGTGGAGGAGGGATTAGTGACCTATCAAAAGGCACCCCTTCCCCTGGGTTTGCAGTATGAAGACCTGGGCAGGAGGGAGCAGGCTTCCCTTTTCCTTGCTGAGAAACTGCATCAGGCAGGGGAGGAAGGGGCTGGGTCTCAGGAAATGAGAAACCTGGAATTGAGCAACCCCTCCCTATGCTTGCAGCACCTTGTGCCCTGTGGTTAGTCCTGTTTGGGGACTTTTGTGCTCTGTGGTCAGAAAGGACCCAACCCAGCTTCACAGTGACTGGCTGGGCAGTAGGCCTTCCCTCAGCCTGAGGTCGCTACTTGCGGAAATATGGCCTTGATTCTAGTTCCATGGGGTCCCTGCAGGGCTGTAGATCAGCTGCGTAATGTTAAGTCCGTGGAAGCAGTCACTGTCCACAAGGTCCCAGGAGCTGCTGGGGGCATACCCGGCTTCCAGGCTGGCAGGGGTCACTAGCTGAATGTCCATGGGGGCAGCCCCTCTGCCTTCTGGGGTCCCTGCAGGACCCCTCCCTGGAGTGTGGGGTCTGGGTCCTTGCTGGGTTAGTGCGTGGCCAGAGCAGCATACACACTGAGTTCATCGGGGGGCTCCTCTGACGGGGAGGAAGGGGGTGCACTTGTCTCCCGTCTGAGGGCCAAGAGGTTCAGCTGGGCATAGGTCACCTCCTGGGGGGTGTCGGATGCAGCAGCCTGGAGCAGGGGGGGAGAGACAGGGATGAAACGTGGTTGGGGTTGGGGAGCCTGGATGTCTGGAGAGCATGGGACCCACTGTCCATCTGCCTGTCCTTGTCTGCTTGTCTGCCCTTCGTGTCCTGCAATCCCCCTGACAGAGAGGAGGGCGAGGGGGCCACTCCCTGCCTGAGTCTGGATCCTGAGTGGTTCCCCTGGGCGTCCATCCCTCCCTGGGGGTCTGCGTCCTGCCTGTTCTGCTGGAGAGAGTGAGACAAACAGCGTCTCCTGGACTCCACTGTTGAAATCCTCCAGCAGTTATCACATGTGGCCAGGTGATGATTTTCACTTCAAAGAGATGAGGTCACTCTCCCGATGGAATCTGCAGGGACTCCCTAGGCCTTGGGGCCTCTGGATGCTTCTAGGATCTGACTCTTACCCTAACACCATCTCTTGCTCACTTGGCTCCAGCCTCATGGCCCATCTTCCTGAGAAGCGTGTCCTGCCTCAGGGCACTTGCCCCTGCTGTTCCCTGTGTCCCCTGCATGCACTCTGTCCCCTCCTCCTGCCTTACTTTCCGTCACAGCACTTTGCCCTCTAGGACACTGTCTGCTTGTTTGCATGGTGTCTCCACCCACAGGTGAGCCCGAGGAGGGCGGAGGCTGTTGCTCAGAGCTGCACAGTGGCTCCTGAGTGGAGCCGGTAAACAGGGAGCCCGTCCCATCTGCTGGGTGAATGAATGAAGGGGAGGCTGGGACCTGCAGGTGATTCACTTATTCAGGCCTCCTCCTGAGACCTGGGCTGCACAAGGTCAGACAGAGGACGAGGGGCCAGCAGAGGGGACCATGCAGGAGGGGCTGTGAGGTCACAGGAAACCAGGAGGAGTGATGCACAGCAGGACGACCTGGGTGCCCAGGAGAGGTCAGGGTGGACACTGCTGAGAACCAGGTGAGGTGGGGACAGGGAGGGTCCTTTGGATTAAACTGGGCAACAGAAGGTCCTTGGCCTGGACAGGAGCAGGGGTCTCACCTGAGGGTCCAGCTCCACACTCTCCCCAGGCTCTGGGTCCTTCATGGCAGCATCTGTTGGGGCAGAACAGGGGGGTGTCTCCTGGCAGGGCCCCTGAGATCTCAGGGCTGCAGACCCCCCAGCTCCCAGGTGGGACACTAACCCAGGGCTGAGCTGAGGCACCAGGACACCCAAGATGGATGTCAGCCCTTCTCACCCTGACCCCACACCCTCCCGCCTGACCCTCCCCATCGCCTCCTGAAAGCCCGGGTCCCCCCAGGGCAGCTGTCTCTTCCTCTCACAGAGGGGCTCTTCCTGGGCGTCCACAGCTGGGCTGGAGCTGGGGGGAGACAGGAGTGTTAGGGGCAGAGGGGCCACAGGAGGTGGGGTTTGGGGGTCTCCGGGGCAGGAATTACCTGATCTGCAGGCCTCTGTCCTTGGGCTCGGGGTCTGTGGTCCCTGCAGGAGGTTGGGCACCAGCCTGTCTCTGGGCTGGTCAAAGGGGACAGTCTCAGCCCTGGGGGGTCAGGCCCCTCCCCGTGTGATTCCCCAGGAAAGAAGGGAACCTCAGCACTTGTGCGCGGTTCGTGTGTCATGAGGGGAGACGATGGGGCGTGACCTGAAGTGTGTGCTCGTGAGACGTTTTCTCTCCACACTGGCTGACCTGAGGTTCTGGAGAAATCTTTTCCTCACTGACCTTCTCCATCTGTTAGGTTTTCCTGGGCAGGTGCTCTGAGCCCCTCTCCCCCCTGGGACCCAGGTCCCCTGTTCCCTACTCACCCGACGTCCTGCGTTGGCCCTGACGCCGGTGTCGGAGGGCGAGGAAGAGGAGGGAGAGGAGGAGGGAGAGCAGCAGGATGAGGGCCACTGAGACCCCGATCAGGACGGGCAGGTTCCAACTGAGACCTTGGACACGAGTGATACGAATGAGCCAGTGATGCCATTTAATGAGCACCTACTGTGTGCGAGGCACATGCTGGGTCCGGCCTTCATCTCTAACCTCACAGCCCTGGTGCACCAGGGAGTGCTGGCCCCACCCCCACTTCACTGAGGCTCAGAGAGGTTAGTCACCTGCCCCAGGTCACCCAACATGGACAGGGCAGGGCTGGGGCTGGAACCCGGGACTGTGGGTTCCCTTGTGTATTACTATTATTATGATTATTGTCATTATTATTTATGCTGTCCCTGTAGCCTCCAGGTAGAACACCAGTGCAGAGACCTGTTACCAAACTCAGTCACCACCATTTCATCCCAGCCCAGATCCATCTCCCATTGTGCAGATCCACCCCCTACCCCCACAATGGGGCCTCTGCACATGGGGTGTGTGCATCTGGGAAGGGCAGGGGGCAGGGCTGTGTCCTGCCTGAGCTCTAACCAGGGCCAGCCGTGCTGAGGGCTGTCCCTTTGAGGGAGGTGGCGGAGAGCTGAGCCACCTGTCAAAGATCCCAAGGTGGGACGGAGCCCAGCTGGGATCTGCACCAGGGGTGTGGCTTCTCTCCCCAACTCCGGGCTGCGCCTTGAAGGAAAGCTTGTGGAAGAGAGTTCACACAGCGTCTGTGCCCCCAACACATGCACACAGGCACGCACACACACGGATGCACGCACACACGTGCACAAGCATGCACGTACCATGTCCAAGCAGCCTTTGGAAAAATTGGTTTCAGTGAGAAGGGGGAACTTTTCTTAGGCCATTATTTAGGAAGTGGCTGAGCCAAGACCAACACTGAGCTCCTCCCACCCACCACTTCCCCACACTCTCAGCTCTCTGCCGGCCTGGCTCCATGGGTGCGGGGACTGGCCCTCAGAGCAGGTGGGGGTGAGGGGAGGTGGG